GCACAAGTATCAAGTATCAACCTAAGGACTAATACTGTGTGGTGTAGTGTTACTGTAAATGCCTTCTATAGGGATTGGACTGTTATGAGGAGGAAGAGCAATGCTAAAGATGGAGAGCACTCTAATGTTTTAGCTGGCTCCTTGTCTCTCTGTGTCCCCCCCCCCCTTCTCTCTCTCTCTCTGTCTTTGTGAATGGGACTTGATGCTTCAGATATTAGTGAGCTGTGTCAGAGCGCCTCTTTGCTCCCCTCTTTCCAAGCAGCCGTTATGGTTTTAATGGCCTGTAATGGAGCTGGGTCCTCTCTTTCCACTTGCTCAGCCGGTCCAGTTTTTTTCTTTCTTTTTTTTTTTGGTAATGATCCAAAGGATTCTCCTAATGCAGTGGCCTCAGACTGTGGCAACCTCAGAGATCTTTCAACACGATTGTGCCCAGTGGTGCCACGCCAAAAACAGTCCTCCACGGTCTGGTTTTTCTCATCACAGACAATACCCAGCAGTGACCACTAGGGGGGTCAGCAAAATCCTCACAGATGCAGCAGCCACACATTTTGAGGTTATATAGCATATAGTACATCTCTGTTAGCCAACGTTCCCGACACACAGAAACGTGAGCACAGTTGTTCGGCCGACGTCGTCCAGAGCGATCGACTCAGCCAGGTTTGATGATCTGACGCGACGCTAACGTCTTAATAATCTAGTAAGAATTAAGTTGCCGGAACATCTCTTCACAGCATAATAGTTAAATGCACCGCAGAACTTCGTCTCACAGGCAATTTGTCAATGTCACTGTCAATCTGTGTCACAGACTCTTCCAGAGGAATAGGAAAGAGCGTTCCCTCTGTTCAGCTCACTAATCCACAGCTGTTCAGGAGTGAAAAAGTTACAAAAAGCCACACACAAAAAAACACCATTTGGACTTGAACTTTTGACCTTCGTTTTGTAAGGCGAGAGTCAAATAACCCTTCCGCAGTGTTATTACATTTTATATGACTTTCACATAGTCATTGAACTGATTGTAACAAGCGTTCTGTGCAGCTACGGTGGGAGTGAAATCACCACATGTGCACTTGTGATTAAACTGACAGCGTGCAGCTGATGTGTGCTGTTTGATGTTTTAATCATGAAATGGAGCCTCCTGCTATTCCATAAATGTATTTGTTTGCTTTTACGATTGCTTTTCCTCTTTGAATTAGTCTTTTTTTAAAGTATTTCCTCATTTCTGCTCCTCTATGGTTTTATTCTTGCATTATATCACATAACCAGTCTAAACTGGTCAGTGTTTGTGCAGTCATGCACCGGGTATTAATTATTGAAGAATTTATTTTAGATTAATTTTGATCGTAAATGTAGATTTTTTTTATTATCGCTTTAAGTCTTCTTTTTTAAACTCTGGTTTAAACTATCCAGATCAAAGTGTTGTAGATTCTATGACCTACATAAAAAAATATCAAAGCCTGGAAACCCCAAAGAAACGCAAGGATTTGGAGTAAAAATCTGAGTCTGCGCAAAATAGGTGAGGAAAAATCAAACGTGCGTGAAAGACTTACAGCTCTGTGATCAAAAACAGGCTCAATCTGTACGAACGTGTCTAATTTATTTATCGCAGTCGGTTTCTGGCAGGTCAGGCGCCATCATTAGTGCGGCGATGGCGACACAGCGATTTGGTTTTTTTTAGTCGTCTTCCTCCAGAAAACCCCTGATTGAGGATGAGAACACTTGAAATCAGAGGCAGAAATTCAGCACAAACTCATCTTTTATTCTTTCTGAATGTGTCTCACAGACCTCGGTGTAAAAAAAAGAGAGAGAATCACTGAGTGTTTTCATTTGTTCTTCCTGCCTCCCTCTGAGGAAGAGAAGCCGCCGTTGTCCTCATGACTTCCCATGAACCGGAATATTTATTCAACATAGGAATTTCACCGTCACAGCCACTTAACGAGTTGTATTCAACAAATGTCGCTAATTAGCTTATTACTGTTTCCTGTCAAATGGCGCACATTCAACACTTTGTGAAACCATTTGGATTTTAGAATAAAATAAAGTATAATTGGTTTTTAACTCCCAGTCTTTTTTCCCCTTTCAACAAAAATGTGACAAAGTCATAGGAAATTGGAGAACAAAAAAAAGAAGCTTTTTTATGTTTTCTATCTGATCCAACTAAGAATTTCTGCTCATTTAAAAAGTTTTAATTAACCTGTTTTTAATGTTCGTGTTAACAGCAAAAGTAAAGGCCAGGTGCTGAATGTGGCCCATTTAATTGGTGATTAATTATGATCATGATTAACTGAGAACTTTATATGCCACACCTGCTTCCAACACGGAAGAGTGCAGCTGAACTTTCTCCACTGTGTTGACGGTGGACGGTCTGTTGTGTGGCTCTGTCCCTGCACTCTGAGATTTTGGCCTAAACTTTAAAATCCATGAAATATTGATAGTGAACACCACTGGAACTGAGGTACAGTTGGAAGGATAGAATACTGCAGAGCCGAGCATCACATGTTTTATTGAAGCGGCCGGTGTAACATTTATGTGGAGGATGAGACAGAAAATAGGAATTTGAGGTTTGGACCAAAGACAAAGCTGCACTGTGAGGAGACACAGGTGCAGTCGTAGTGTCCATAAATGACTTTGTCTGACGGTCATATATCATGTGGAAAAGATAAATGGCCTTCGTGTATGAAAAACCCTAGGACAGCGATAGCATCACTGTCCTAGAAAATACATTTAAAGAATAAAAAGTAATTAATTGAAACAAAATATTAAAAAAAAACCAAGCTTCCACATAAATGCATGTTGGGGGAAAATAAACAACAACAGCAATCAGTGGTGTTTGTGAGTGATGGCAGCTCCCAGACACAGCTGCGTCTTGTCCTGGTCCTTTGTGTTCGGCTGTTTATCAAACAGTCTATGTCTGCTCCTGTCTTTCTATTCCCACATCTGTCCTTCTGTCCTCTTTTCACCGTCTGTCCACTGGGTCTGGCAGCATTGTTATCTCTCAATTATGTTTGACTGGAGCAGTCATTTGCACAGAGTACTTCATAAAAAAAAAAAAAAAGATTGTTGTAAAGATTGTTGTAACTGAAGGGACTGATCAACTGAGGTGGAACAGAGGCCAGGTGCAACTTAACACCTTTACAACTCGTATGTGTTTCAGCTGCATGTTAAAAAATAGAACATTATTGTTGGCACGTCAATAATCATTACAAATGAAATTGTACATTCCAGGGTGGACTTGAAGTGATGAACAACTGTAAATCTGTGATTTCTTTTAGAAAAATCCTGACTTCATGAGGCATTAACACAAATTAAGAGCTATTTTTACGATCGGCCTTTCTTCAACTCCAGGCTGTTTTCTCTGCTATCACTACTGAAGATACAATCTGCCAGCTCACTGTTTTGATGTAAAATGATGAGCTTGTTAGGCCTGGCACATGAAAACCACCCTGGAAAATTCTCAATTTCCTTCCACGTCAGATGGGAAGCAGGAGTTGGAGAATAAATATAGATAATGACGGAATTCACGGTTTTAAAAAAAACAACAAAAAAACAAAACAGATTGGCCTCCTAAAAGCTCACTGTGGGATGCAGGGTTCAACACTTTGTATTTCTTTCTTCCTTTTAGTCCTGTTTGGTTCGGGGGAGCTTGGGGGGGGGGGCTTGTTTTCCCCCACTCTGGCAGACAAAAGCACAGTTCCTGCTTGGAGCAGCGGTTGGCTACTATCTCCCATTACAGCTGTTTTCAAGGCTGTTTTTTCTGTATTGTGAGACATAAATCGTTTCCTATCCCCTAACCCTTACCTTACAGTTGTATACAGTATGTTACAAATATATCATTGATTTTAATCCTTATGTTAATGTAGGGGGCAGGTCCACCTAGGGGGACAGAGCTATTTATCTGTCATACAGTGAAGAAAATGGTAACAGAAAAGTCTGGGGGTCAAGCAACAGTTGGAACTATGTTGAAGTAGCTGGAGGTTAGGGGGCGCTGCAGAAACAATTTTAATCTGACCATTATTTCAATAATAGAAAATATATTATATATTATTATTAATAATAATAATAAACAGTATCTTAACCCTTTAAAGACCCCCTCACTCACTAATAACCTTCAGAATGCCCCCACAAAGACAAAGTTCTTCCACAACGACAGTATTTCGCCAAAAACGTGTCCCCACTAGTATAGATATACCAGTAAAACACACAGACACATAAATCACGTTTCATATTTGGGAAGACCAGTGTGATTTTTGTTGGTGTTGATACTGAGATCAAGTTTGAAGAACACACTGTACCAGCCACAGTACTGCAGCTCTCACACGTAATCACTGTCAAACAAGCGAATAAGTACAGCAAAGATACTCAGTACACAGACATACACGTCGCTGCCACTACTGCTGCAAAGGACCTGAACCTTTTCCTTAGAAGAGTAAATATCAGATAAAAAAAAGAATAAATCATAGTAAAAATGATTCATCCGTTCTTTGTCCGGTGACCCTGACAGAGAGGAACTAAAGGAAAGACACGTAAAGGAGCAGATTTACTATAATTGCAAGTGGAAGAAATACGATGCCGAGGATGGCATTCCGCTCAAAATATAACCACTTGAAATACGTTATCTCTCCAGAGCTCGAGCTCGGCTCCTCTCTTATCTGGACCTGATAACCTTAGAGTTTGCAGCATAGGAAATGTAGTCTTTGAAAAAGAGACGGTTACCGTCTGTGGTACAACCCTGTTTACCACAGACCAAACTGCTAAGAGCTAAAAAAGGCATAGCCTTTAAAATACTATTTAATAGTACATTTTACAAATACTCAGTAACATTTTTGATCTCATATCAATAAAACCCAGCATATGAAAATGATGTGAACAACTAAACATCAGATCTGTGTTAAAACCACAGGCTGAAGTGAGTAGTTTGTTGAGATTCTTTGTCTTTCTAATTTCTCACACTGACAATTAGCAGTTAGCTAGCTGTGTAACTGAAGGTGTAGCTCGTCTCCTACCTGCACCAGGTTCCAACCCTCCAGAGATTCTGCAATGATAGAGGTCACGGAAGGACAGACGCCTCCGAAGATCATCAGGTGTTTGGGACCGTAGCATATGGCATCAAAGAAGGCCCTCAGGCCCTTGGCGTTGTCACACTGCAGAAATAATGGAAAGGTGGTTAGAGTGGAGGAGAGAGTAGGTCATGTCAGAAAGAAATGTCTGCACATACTGGAAATCTGCACTGAACAGTGTGTAACCAGACAGCAGCAGGCTACTGCAGCAGACAGAAGCTAATGAGTTAGCTCAGTTAGTGGCTAATTTTGGAGACCATACATTAATATTTAGTCTGAAAAGAAAAACAAAAAACATTCAGATTTTTGTTGACGGAAAACCATCCCATAATCATGTTGGAATTCAGAACAATCTCTCTTTTTGATGCTGTACTTCTCAAACTCTTATCTCATAAACCGTCTGGACATTGTAATCGTTCTATGTTCCCTTCAGGGTTCTCCGAAGCTCGTATCTACCTCAGTCTGACCTGGTGGGAAACCTCCTTGACTTTTCTAGTATTTGTCTTTGTGATCTCCGTCACGTCGTTCATGAATCTTCCCTGGGATCTTCAGTTCCACCTCAGACCCCGGCTGTCACTCTCATATGTTTATTTCTTATCCTTGTCCGTTTAATCACTCTGAACCAAACAGAGCCTCGTCTTCACCTCTGCCACCGCCACACCAGCCTGCTGTCTTCTCTCAAGTGTCAGCGTCTCTAAATCATACTTCACACCAGGGCATAGCGAACACACTAACATAAGTATGAAATAAATTCCACTAAGCCAAAGGTTCCAACGCCAGCCTTTGATAATGGCGACTCAGCGTAAGTGGCTTTAGGTAAAGACAGGACATCAATAAATCAATGGCTACTAAATGTACAAAAAAAATGGAGCTGCACTCACATGGTCGTTACTCTTTGACACGGCGTGATGGATACACAGTCGCAGCCGCACACTCACTGGTGTCAGCTTACAGTAACACGCTGTTTATGATAAACGATGTGACATTTAAGTTGCATTTAACTTCTTACACTGCAGTGCAGGCACATGCCCACATAATTGCCTCTGTGTGTGTGTGCGCACGCGTTGTCTAAAAGCATCATGTGAAAGTATGTAACTCAGTGCGAGAGCCGGCCCCCGCTCTGATCCAAAGCTGCAGATCACCATAGCAACCAGAGAGCTGGGGGAAAGAAATAGCAGAGGGAGAGAACAGCGTAGGTTTGCTGTGTTTCCTAAGTTTCTGCAGCTTGTGATGATGTTGGTACGAGCTGCAACATTTCGCTGACAAACTGGATCCGTTTTATTTGTAGAGCACACATTTACCAGTCTGTCCTACAGGACTCTGACGTCTGCACGCAATACAGTTTTTAAATTTAGATTTTAAAGTTATTAGCAATTCACCAAAAAGTGAATTAGCAACCTAGCAGTGTTTGTCCTCTTTTCTTGTCCATGACTATCCTGATGCTGATCCCTGGTTAAGGGATGACATATTGTCTGCAGCCACTGACTGACATATATATTCATTACAGTCTGTATATATTTATATGTGATTTGTTGTCTTTCCTCTGGTCATCCTCCCTTCATTTATTATCCTCGGTTTCTTTTGCCAGGCACACAGTCTGCTGTGACTTCTCACACAGCTTGGACTGGTTTGTTGTCATGCCAACGCCGTGACTATCCACACTTTGAGCTCTGGATGGGGGAGAGGACCACCGCAGGTCCGGTGTAGTGATGTCTATATTTAGGCTCTCATTAGGCTGCACAACCACTGAGAGTTTGATCAATACTTTTTGGACTTTGGTAGTGCTGAATGTTAGAGAGACCAAGCAGGACAGTGAGAGCGATGAAGGAGGTATGACAGGAGTACATGTGAGGAGATGGACGTAGGAGAAGGAGAAGACGGTGTTCAGTTAGTCGGACACTAACTGTGCACTGATAAAGCCGAGTAAACCAGTGTAACCCCCTCCACAATAGAGCTGTTGATGAACAGGAAAAGGGTTCTGCTCATCACTAAGGTGCTGAACAGCAGTACAGTGGTGTGAGGATTTAACTACATTCCATTTATTATTAAAAAAACTCTACACTGTGCTGTGAAAACCCTGCCAGTCCTAGATGATTAAAGCGTAAATTATACATTTTAAACCCATTTTTAATTTTAAGATTCCAGTTTTTTTTATTAGTCATGTTCTAATAGTATAATCTAGAATGTAAGAAAAAAACAGAGATATATATATGTAAAAAAAAAAATTAGATAATAACCTTGTCTCAGATCTTAGAAGATATAATTTAAAATCTAGTAATGTGGTTCTCAAAGTAGGGGGCGGCCCCCATTTGGTTGGCAAGGAGTCATTGCATGCGGGGTGCAGCAGGTTTAAATTATTTTTAGTTTGATTTGTGCCACAGTGGAAATCTAAGGTCCAGATAACGTCTGTTAATGTACTGTAATATACTGTGAAGTATTATTGAAATGATTCCATTTCTAACATACATACTCAGTCAAATACTCACCTGTTTCGTACTACATACTACTCTCCACTTCTATAGCAAGAATGTCCTTCTCATGCAGTGTGTGTGTATGTGTGTGTGTGTGTGCATGATGCTGCATTTTAGTTTGTGTACGTACATGTGTGATGTTGTGACAGGAACAAGAGCTGAAGAGAGCAGCAGGCTGCAGCTAACCATGATGAAACGCCTTGTTAGCACTGCACACAGAGGCAGCTGCACCTGTCCCTGGTCTAATGGCAAATTACTGCACCCAAATCAGCAACCTGAGGCCAAACCTGCACACGCATGCACTCAGACACACGTGTGTGTGTGAGAGAGAGAGTGTGTGTGTGTGTGTCTGAAAGACTGATGAACTAGGAGATAAAAAAGAGAGTAAGGAACAGAGGAGGGGATCAGCGTGGATTCTCACAGTACAGGTAATTACTGACAACAAAAACTGTGAGAATCACACCATGGGATCTGTAAATGTAAAAAAAGTGTGATTTTGTTTATTTCAATTACTGCTTCATATATTCTAGATGTTTTGTGTAATATCTTTCTCTAAAGAAAAAAATCAACTCTAAGTACATGTACCAGGCATAAGTACTGTAAACAGAAATGGCACTAAGTTCTTCTTCTTTTTCTTTCGGCTTTGTCCCTTTTTTCAGTGGTTGCCACAGTGAATCATTGATTTCCATATTGCCCTATTATATATTATATATTATATATATTACAGTAATGGCACTAAATAACATTTGACTTTAGTGTACAAAAACCTCTTCCTTAGAGTTCTAGGTGGAATTTCTAGATAAGTCTTACATAAATGTCTGCGTCAGTTAACGCTTTGTGTTGTTTGGGGAAAGAAAGGGAGAAGCCAAGAGGATGCTGGGAGTTTGGGTGATGCGTTTGGGGCCCACCAGACCTCTCATTGTGAAGGAAGTACCTCTGCAGCCAGATAGTAAAACATAGTTACCCAAGTTTTTGAACTTGACAACATTTGATGAACTATTTAGATCCTCAGTGCTGTTAATTGTACATAACTGGCCTCTGTACGGTAAACATGGATTTAAGAAAGTCCAGATGGACGGTGAAAATGTTTGTTGCACGTTAAGGACGTTTTTCAAATCTTTCTTGTACTGCTAAAGCTAACGTACAGTAAATCGCCCATTTCCCCACATCCTTTCTGCGGGCTGTAAACTTTCCTGATCTGTCAAACGGTGCCGTGATTTTTTTCCACAATCTCCCTCCTGCAAACGTTCCCCGGTGAATACCTTCATCTAAAAATAGGACCGCCAAAGTGAGCCGTGCTGAATCCAGCATTTACCTCAACGTATGCTCAACATGATAAAGTGCTAGAGAGCAGGCAGGATGCAGCCAATAGTTCAGATCCGAGGGAGATTATCTGTTTCCCCGTGCACAAACCCAACTAATCCTCTAAACTCTGCCCTGGCTGTCAACAGCCACCACTCACTGAAGAGGAGCAACCATGGGACTGTCCGGTGTGAACCGGTCTGTAGCACCGCGTGAAGTATTAGCATCTCTGCCTTGAAGGAAGGAGGAAATGGAATTATTTCTGATTATCCAACGGCACATCAATAAGAACTGGATTAAGGGGGTCTCCCTTCAGTTCATGAAGATCAATCAACTGTCAATTAGGGTCAGTCATCCACGAATCGAACCAAACCTCTCACCTGCTGCCCGTCTCACACACACAGAGACCTGGGGTCTTCAAGAAGCTGGAGCTGTTTGTTCCCCACCAGTGAATTCTTTGTGGAGCCCACCGGGCTGTAACATTTCACCCACCAGTCTATTCTTTCTCTTCTGAAATGACCACAAAGACTGAGCTGGGAGGTCATTCACAGACCAGAAAGTTTGAAAAGGAGAACAGGGAAGGTGAGGTGGAAGAGAGGGGGGAGGATGAAGGTGGGCTTCTGTACGCAGCTAGCATCACAACTCTTTGTCATAACATTTGGACAGCGCCCCCCAGAGTGTGGGGATGTAGACTACTTTGGTTTGGTGCGAGTAAATCAGGGAGGAGTCACTTTATTTTCAATCAGTTCTCTATAGAATAAAAGGCTGAAACACAAAACAGTCCAGAGTGAGGAAAGCTGAACCCGTCTGGCGATGGACTGGCCTTTAATGTCCACTGGCTCAGACCGACTGGACGGCTGTAGCTGAGTGCCGTCCTGTCCTGTCCTCCATCTATCCTGCACCTCCAGAGCTCAGATGGCCCCAGGATAAATCCATGATGAGAGCCTCATCTGTGGTGTCCACTCTCTTTTACCCTTTTGACTTCCTGTTTCTCTAGCACACACATTATGAACTTATGAACACACACACACATGCACTACAGGTGTAATGTTTCATCTCTGGCACAGCAGCAGCAGCAGCAGCAGCAGCAGCAGCAGCGGCAGCGGCAGCAGCAGCTGACTGAGCTGAAGTAAATCATGAATGAGTGACAAACACGAGCCAGGACTCGGTCCTGATCGTACACCTGGTCCATAAATGACCCCCGTTGGTGCAACTGTGGCAGAGAACACATCCGACCTTTATCACCCATCTGTGCTGTGCAGCAATCAGATGCTGTGTTCAATCCGTCTGTGTTCAACGCCCAACGACGTG